GAGCCTGCATCCTAGGAAAGTCATCCAGCCACCTGCTACCACCTGTTCACAGGCCCCTCACCCGAGAGAGGGATAGCCCAGCTCTGTCCTCTCCAGGAGTCTTGGCTCTCTTCCCCGATCAGCGTCCTGGGCTTGAGCCTACATCCTGGAGCTGGCCTTCAATTCAGAATCCTAGTTGGAAGAGCTGAAGAGAAACGGAGAGGGTGGCAGTTCCCAGGAAGGGAAAAGGGTGCCAGACATCATGAAGGCAAACGCCAGCAGCCAAGGAATCTTGCAGAGCTTGGCCAGATTTCCTCAAGAGTCTTGAAAGCTGTTAAAAGGTGAGAGACATAAAGAAAGGAATTTCAGTAGGAGCTGAAGGCAGCCAGCTCAGTGGGTAGTGGTCCGGGTGGGTCACCTCTTTGTCTCTCTAGGCTTGGTTCCTCCCCTACCCTGTATGCTCTCACCTGTCTGACCACTGACCCCCTGCTGATTTGTGCCCCCCTCTGACTCATCTTCATCACCAGCTACCCTGTACAAACTTTCACAATGTCCTTTAGACAAGCCACACCCAACTTCAGCTGTTTGGTGGCTGTACCAGCCCCATCATGGGAATTGTTGCTGACCAGAGTTTAGAGTCTAAGGTGGGTGAGCAGTAGACAGAAATATGGACCCTAAAGATGTCCACATCCTAATCCACACTGCCTGTGAATATGTTACCACCTACGTCAAAAGGGACTTTGCAGATGTTATTAAAAATCACGAGATAGGAGGGGCACCTGGGTGGTTCAGTTGGTTGAGTGTCTGACTCTTGATTTCAGCTCAGGTTGTGATCTCATGGTTTGTGGGATTGAGCCCCATGTCAGTATCTGCGCTGACAGTGCAAAGGCTGCTTGGGCTTCTCTCTCTCTGCCCCAGCCCCGCTCACCTGCTCTACCTTCAAAAAAGTGTGTAAATATATTTTTTTTAAATTATGAGATAGGAAGATTATCCTAGATTATTCAGGTAGGCCCAATATAATCACAGGAGTCCTTATAAGAGAGAAGCTAGAGAATTAGAGTCAGGGAAGGAGATTTGATGACCGAAGCAGAGGTCAGAGTAATGTGGTAACAAGACAATGAATGTGAGGAGCCTCCAGAACCTGGAAAAGGGGAGAATCTAGATTCTCCAGAAGGAATGCAGCCCTGCCTACACCTTGATTTGAGTTCCTAAGTCTGACTGTGGAGTAAGACGTTTAAGATAATAAATATGTATTGTTTTTATGTTTTTATTTTTTTTTAATGTTTATTTTTTGAGAGAGAGACACACAGAGAGTGTAGCAGGGGACAGACAGACAGAGAGAGAGGGAGACACAGAATCCAAAGCAGGCTTCAAGCTGTCAGCACAGAACCTGACACGGGCCCAAACCCACAATCCACAAGATCATGACCTGAGCCGAAGTTGGGTGCTTAACCGACTAAGCCACTGGGTACCCCAATATATACTATTTGAACCACTAGTCTGTGGTGAATTGTTACAGCATCAAGGAGAGGAGCAGTCTTCATAATACACTGGGAGATCATTGACAGATTCCAACTCTGGCCCATCCCCGTTTTGTCAGAGAGAGGGCAAGACCAGAGCCTTGGTCACCAACATCATCAAGCAGAACTTAACCCCAGTAGTCTGTCCAGCTATTTACACATGGAATTCCCTTCTTTTCCCAGCAGATTTTACATTCTTGGTTGATGCTGTCAAGTTTCCCTATCCTAAAAGGGATCTAAGCATAAACAAGAGAACCGATGTAAATCAGTGGTCCTCAACCAGGGAATTCTTCCCCCTGGGGAACACTTGGCAATGTCTGGAGACATTTTTGCTTGTCACAGCTGGGGCTGGGGGTGCTACTTGCACACAGGGGTTGGAAGCCAGGGATGCTGCTAAACATCCCAAAATGCATAGGACAGCCCCACCCCTACCCCTTGACGAAAATGTCAGTAGTGCTGAGGTGAAGCAGCCCGGTGTAAAGAAACCATGAAGCACAGGTATCACACACAAGGGGCAAGGTCGTTCGGGGAAAGTGGGACTAGGCTTGGAGAGAAGTGAAAAAAGCTAGACATAAAAGGCCACCTATTCTGTTATTCCACTTCTATAAAACGACCAGACCAATACAGACAGCAGACTTCACAGTCTATTATGCATCCCATTTTTGCGGGTACAACATATCAATGACCCCTGTCCTAACACGTGGCCCGAGTTATGTATTGCTGAGTAACCAAACAGCCCAATGCCATTTTACTCTCTTGTATGTGGGGATCAAGACGGAGGCAAAGCTCTATAGTCACTAGAGCCCCGAACGGGGTAGCTCCCAAGCTGGAAATGGCAGGGGCAGCACCCGGAGCCCGGCACACAGCACAGCTGCATGAATGTCTGATGAAGGGACAACCCATTCTGAATTGGTTAAAAGCAGCCACAATTTTCTGAGTGCCCGTTAGGTACCACCGAGCCCTGTGTCAAGAGTATTACACGGAGTGATTCACGCAACGTCTCGAAAGGCAGATGGAGAAATGGAGGCCCAGAAAGGGGAAGCCAGTTACGGAGCCAAAGTCTTAGCCTTCCTGTCTCCAGGCATCCGCAAATTTTAGCGCCCAGAGTCACTGCAGGACTTTAAACGCAGATCCAGAGCCATCCGGAAAGAGACTGGAGCTCACACCCTCCCGTGAAGTGGTGGGTTATTCACACCTTTACCGAAGCGGACACTGAGGCCCAGGCAGCAAAGCCACGCATCCCAGCCTGAACTCCTGCGGCCGTTCTTGGAGCCACCGTCCACCACTGGGTCAAGGGCTCAACTTCGTCCGAAGCCCTCACCTGCCCCGCCCGCCGCCAAAGCAGCGCGATCCGCTTCCCCGCCCCAACCCGCTCGACCCCATCCGGAACCGGTGACGCGGCCGACTGCGGGCCAGAGCCCGGGCGCCTGGGCGGAAGCACGGGGCCCCGCGGGAGCCGTCACCCGCGCTCGGAGCGGCCGGGACTGGCCCCGCGGCGCAGACACAGCGGGTGGCCCAGGCCGCTCGTGCCTCCTAGGCCGCAGCCCACTCCGCCCGCCAGAGTCCGGCCCGTGACTTGTCCGCCCCGGAACCAACAAACCGACCCTTCCGCGACCCCGCCCGGACCCGAAGTGCTGGCGCCCAGCCTCCCGTCCCCCAGGGGGCTCGAGGGGGCAACTCTGAAAACTGCCATCTCGTTCGAAGCGGCCCGCGGAGGACGCCCGGCACGGTGCCTTCTTCCCGCCCGGTTTCGGGCCTGAAAGCACCGGGCGGAAAGGCCAGAAGGGGCCAACGCGCAGGCTTGAGGGAAATGGAGTTCCGCCCGCGGTGCGAACCGAGCTCCCAGCCCGGTCCTCCCTCGGTGGAGAATGCGGCTGGAGAGGAATGCGCGGTCCCTTGAGCCTAGGACCGATCCTCACGGTTGCCGGTGCAGCGCCAAACGTACCCCTCCGCCCAGCCGTTACGGGAGGGCGAGGTGAAGACTTCAGTTTCCAGGTGAAGGTGGTGGATGGAGCCTTCTAGCCGGTCACCGTCGCCTTGCAGACGCCTGGCGTCTTTGCGGCCGTCCGGTCTGTTGCTGGCGATCGGTTCTTCCCAGGATAGGGCGAGGCTCCGCCCGGGTGCCCGCTGGCAGCGTGGTCCCGACTGGACCGCCGATCGCCTTCAAAATGTTTGGGCCCTGTCCTTGGACACACTCCACCCCCTATCTCCCCGAGTCCCGGTGGCTGGATGCTCCCGACTCCACTACCTATACCTTCCAACTTCTCGTCTCTAGTTCCGCCATAGCCTGATGCCTGGTTCTTCCCCAATTCATGCGTGAATTTCCCTATATTTGTCTCTAGTTGGTCTTCATTTCCTGCCTCTGGGTAACCCCTCAAGCCCAGGTCCCTGTTTCTCCTCCAGTTACAAGGCCTCCAATCCCCCCTCCTCAAGTCCAAGTCCCCGTTTCTCCCTCAATTTGTGCCTTGCGCCTCCAAACTGCAGCCACCGGGAAACCGTGTCTGCGAGACTGTTCTGAATTCACACATCTGGTCTCCAAGGTTGAGAACCTGCACCTAATACTGGAAAATCTCAACTTTTAATGTTTGTGGGCCCTGCTCCAGGGCTCCCAGAGAAGCTATACTTTAACACGTACCAAGGTCAAAACCTCAAAGCACGGACTTTATTGCTGCCCTTGAACACACATTGTGTGTCTGCTTCATTAACAAAATAACCCGAAAGAAGCATCACAAACATAAAGATAAGAAAAACAAAGAAAAAAACCTTCCTGGTTCCCATAAAATTAAAGTAATACAGACTTGCACATCTTTCAAAACATAAAGTCTGTAACTTTCTGGGTGTTTTTCATCATGGATTAGTAACTAGGTAAAAACAGGTATAACCCTGCACCAAAGGTTCCTTCCCCAGAGCGCTCCCCTTGTGAAGACTGTGTACCCCGGACACCTGTCCTAACTTGGGCTTGAATAAAAAACTCCTTTCTCCTTAAAATATTTAAAGAATTTTGTTCCTTTTGTGTCAACACACCCACTAATTCTGGATATTTGGATCTCCAAAGTATGTGTCTGGGTTTAACCTTCTTGAATTCCCTGAGACCTGTATTAATACCCTACTCCGAGTTCTCAAATGCAACCCAGTATCTTATCTCTTCTATTTTTTATTCCCAGGTGCCTCAAGTGAGGGGACAGGTCTGGATTGATCCACTCTAGCAGACTCCCAGTGTGGGGACCGCTTCTGTCAAATTGAGGTTGAGTATCTCTGGAGCCTCAAGCTACCTACCCAGACCTGCTGGGGACAGGCAGAGGTGCCTGGGAAGTAGGAGGCAGCCTGATGGAAGAAAGCAAAACATGATCTTGAAAAATACGGACCCGGTGCCAATCCTTGGCCCCTTCTCCCTCAGGATCCAACCCGGAGCCCGTCCACCTTCAGGACACAAGATCCCTGCCCACTTCCCCATGTCCTGGGTTCCAGCCCCCGTCCCAGGATTATATTAGCAAGGACACCTTTTAAAGTCTCTCTTCACATTTATTGATTCCCAGGAGCAATGAGGGACAGTCCTCCACCACCCCCAGGGGGAGTCCAGCCTCCAGCCGCAGCATGAGGGGTCAGCGCCAGATGAGAGCAAGTACTTGCCAAGGAGCCCGAGTCTGCAGCTGGATCAGCCTCCTAGACAAATTTGACAGAAGAGAAATGGGAGGGGACGGAAGCATCAGGTATGCTCCTCCCTGGTGAAATCAGGGCAGACTTCACTGAGGCCTCGCAGGAAGGAAGTAGCCAGGTCAGCCGCCAGCCAAGAGCTCTCCCACCCCTCGGCCTCCCTCCCGGTGCTCAGGCTGACCAAACCACTCTGCTTCCGGGCCTTTCCTTGTTTTGCTTCCCTGCCTGGGATTTCCCTGCAACCAGAGTGGAGGAGGCACACACCTAACTTGCTGGGAGGAGGTGCAGGGAAGGGGCAGTCCTGGCACAGGGCGCAACCTGGGCAAAGGCCAGCAGGAGGAAGCAGCTCACAGAACCCACAGGCCAGAGGAACACGTCACCTGCAACCTGGAGCTCCACCGGCTCGCTCATCTCGGACACCAGGAGGTCGGGGAACGACCTCAAGTAGAGGCAAGTGTAGTTGCCCGCGTGCTGGGGCCCCACGTAGGTCAGCACAAGGTCTGCTGAGCGGTGGCCGCTCCCGGTCAAAACCCTTTCGCCGGCCCGCTGCAGTTCGAACCTGACGTCCCGCACCACCGGGCTCTCGCATCGCAAGACCGCATCGCGGCCCGGAGTCACCGCCCCGCTCCACAGGGGCCTGAGCTGGGGCCTGGGAGGGGGCCCTGGGAGGAGCAGGCGGCTCAGTCACGCGAGGCCCGCCCTCAGGCAGCAGCCGCCGCCTACCCTCCAACGCCCCCGACACCCACCGCGCACACCCGTCCCCTGCCTCCCTGCCTCCCCCTCCACCCAGGCCTCCGCCAGGCTGCTGCCCTGTTCTCACACGCCTGTCTTCCCTCTCCCCGTCCCGGGCACACACGGCTCCTCCTATCGTGCGCCGCGTCACCCCCTTCCCCAGGACACTGCACGGTCCCTAGACCCGGGCCTGATCCTGGGCTGCCCCGAGGTCTCCCAGCACTTGGCGCTCGGGACCCCAGGACGCGGGAGGCGGAGGAAGGACGCGCGCAGGGAACCGCGCTGCGGGCGGCGAGCGTGGGAAGTGAGCCAGATGCGAGGCGTGTGTGGGAGCCCCGCCGCCAGAGTCCCACGGGTGCGAAGCCCCGAGCGCTTCCCTTCCGCACCCTGCTCCGCCCGCGGGCCCGGGCCGCTCACCGTCCACGCGTAGCTCCAAGGGCGCGCTGGGCGCCGAGCCCGCGAAGGGGGGCGCAGTGTCCGCGTAGGCGCAGCTGTAGTTGGCCGAGTCCGCCACCGAGACGTCGCGCAGCTCAAAGCGGGCCTCGGTGCCCGCGGGGCTCAGGACACTGCGCACGTAGCGCTGGCCGTGGTCCTCGCGCATCAGGGCGAAGCGCAGGCCGGCCCGGGGCCCCAGGCACCGCAGCTGCACGGACGCGCCGGGCGCGGGCCGCAGAGCCTCGGGCTCCGCCGAGAGCTCCGGCGCCGGGAGCGTCTCTGCGGGGAGGACGCGGGCTGACCCGGGCGCCGAGGGGCTTGACCCGCCGGCGCCGCCCTCGGCTTACCGCCGCCTCTCGCTCCCGACACCCCCGCGTCCCGCGCGCGCGCTCCTACACTGTTCCTTACTCATTTGTCTGTCCATAAACACAGACGTGGGGAAGGGGAGCTCAGGGAGCGCCGTCCCAGGAGCACGCGCGCTCCGCCTCCAGCCTGAACCCTCTCTCGGGGTCGATGCTCTGGGTGCGGGTTCGGCAGCCCCTGCGGCCCCCGCCTGCCGGCCTTCAACAAGCAGGGCTCCAGGGCCCCGAGCGCCTGCCCCGGAGCCGGGAGGCAGGAGGGCACCCCGGGGAGGCGGCGCCTGCGTGCCCCGTGCGGGACTTGCATGTCGACCCTGTTATTCTTCGTGGGGTCCCTGGGTGGCCCAGTTCATCGTCCTATCGTCAGCTGGCGAAACTGAGGACGGGCGGAGGAGTCCGGCTCGGGCCCCAGCCAGAGCCCTCAGTGCCGCGGGGCCCTTCCCCGGGTCTCCCCTCCCGCTCCCCGTCCCCGGAGGGGGGCGCCGTCGCCCTCTCGCCCCCAGGCGCAGCGGCGGGCCCGCGGCCGCCAGGCTTACCGTCGCTGAGCAGCATCTCGACGGGCTCACTGTCCGCGGACCAGGTTTGCTGGCCACGCAGCTGATAGCGGCAGGTGTAGAAGCCACCGTCGCCCAGAGCCACCGCCTTCATTTCAAAAAAGCTGCTGTCTGAGCTGACGGCGATCCTGGGTACTTCAAGCACCTCCTCGCCCCGCCTCAGCTGGTAGTGCACGCCGCGTAGGGGCGCCATGCAGATGAACGTCGGGGGGGAATCCGGGTGTATCATGGCTACCGAGCCTCCCCTGAGACTCAGCCTGGGCGGCAACGGTGCGCCTGCAAGAAAGGGAGTCGCTGGCGCGGCGTCACCTGCTCCCGCGGATCTCTGCCCTCCGGGTGGGGGCCCGACACCACCCTCCCTCATGTACCGTCCCCAGGCCCTGCGCCGCCTGG